CCTCTCCATTGGAGAAAAAAAAAAAGAAAAAGAGAAAAAAGGTCAGTGCCCTTTATTAGAGAATGAAAGTTTTCTGCTGATAAACCAATTATTTGTCCACAACTCAATGTGCTATTCATGAACTTTGACTGAACTAGAATTTGAAGCAATAAAACTTGCAACAATCTGAAAAGATACTTAGAATGACAAAAAAATATATATCTTTTCAAACTCCCAAGATATCTTAAAATGAAGTATGATTGATGCTGAAAATATATTTTTTAAAAAGTCCTGTAAAGTCTATGTATCTAATTGCTGTTCAAAACGTCATCAAGGAAGAAAGTACCTTCCAATGAAGAATTAATAAAACAGACCACATGAAGACTGGGTGATTCAAAAACTTAAAAATTCAAATGTTTTGCCACACAGATCAAATCAACTAATCATGAATACAAACATTCCTTAAATGTTTTTGATTATCATTAGAACATGAAAACTAGTGATATACTAAAGTGTCTTCTTAAAAACCCAGTCTTATTTATGGAGTTATTTTTTATACTGAAATTCTTTATTAAAGACATCACATTACGCTATGGATAAGAAGCTTTAGCAAACATAACTGTCAGGTATACTGGTTGAAGCTAAAACTAAAGAGGTTGTCTAAGACAAGAAACCAATTATCCAATGTTTTGGCAGCAAAAAACAGTAATAGAACTTAAAAGTGGTCTTTAATCAACCAGTCCAAATGGTAAATTTTGTCACAAACAATGGCCTGAAGTCATGAATGTTTACAATGCTGAGTAAAAAAATGAGGCCCCAGTACATGTACTTCCTAGTTCATACTGAAGAACACTATCCAGAAGTAAAGTTCCACAGCAAGCAAACTTTCTTCCATGAGAGTCAATTCAGGGGTAAAAACAGGAGTTGTATAATCTCCATGCTTAAATAAGAAAAATATACTTTTATCATCATGAATTGCATCATCTGCAACTGCACTTAAACCTTATTTTATTATTTCCCAGTCACCAAAGGGTTTGTTTTGTTTGTTTGCCTAATATTTCAGACAACATACAATAATGATGGTTATATAAAGCTGCATCTCTGAACAGGTTTAATAGGAGTTGATCTGCTAGTATTGGGAAGAAGAGTTTTAAGAGACTTGAGGATAAAAAGAAACTGGCATCAGAGTTGCACCACAGACCACGGATGAAAAAGGACCACCTATTAAGAGATTATTAAGGCCTAAAAAAGTAGGAGGAAGGGGGATACTATCTGTGAGGACAGAGAGGGCTAGAGGTAATCTAAGTGGGTTCCAGAGACCTTGGCAGTGTTGGGATACAAAATACCACGTGAAAAACTTTTCTATTCCTTCAAATTTGCTAAAGAGCCAAGAGGGAACATTCTCATTTTTCAAAAAAGGAGAAGGGAATAGGAAACACTCATTAAGCCTTTCTGGATCTCTCCCCGCTCTTTTGCTCCAAGGCCCAAATGCCATATAATAGTGACAAGCCTGCAGCTTTTCAAAACTAGCATCAACAGTAGGACAGAATTATTCAGTTCAGAGAGAGCTTTCTTAAAGCCCCAACTCATTTGAAAGGGAGTGGGATTGTTATGTGCTTGCTGACGTTGATATTTTTAGTTTCTTGTTGCTATATTAGTGAAGTTGAGCCGGTCTCATGAAGCCTATGGGCTGCTCATCACTGGCTAGAGAAAAGGTTTTAAAAGACTGAGTTACCAACATGAAATTTTTTTTTTTACAATATAAGAACTCAGCTAAATATTTTTTGTAATGAGGAAATGTATTATAAAGCACAGTTTTATCAAGTAAATGTTGTTCAATTATAATGGGAAATGTAAGTCTCTAAAGCACTATCTTCAATTTCTAAAATAGTCATTCAAGAAAAAGTTAAAATTTGGTTAAAGCTCCTAAGAGATGCATTGTGAATTATTCCTTTTATTATTTAGATCTGAATGAGATGCCCAATGAGAATCTTTTATGAACACATAAAGGTATTCTCTTGAATGGTGAAGAGTTCCAAAGTACCAGAACACAACCTGAATTTGGAAACTTGCAGATTTTTAATCCATTTGTGAATTATCAAAACCACCTCGAAGACACTGAGGAAGCTCTTCATTTTACTATGCAATCACTATTTAACTTAATGAATATATCTCAGCTTTAAGAAAAGGCAAAAGCAGAGCTAGTCCATAAAAAAGAAATGAAATGACTGATATTTTCCAAAAATATTTTTTCAACTTAGTTATCACAGTCAAAGCATAGATATCACCAAGTATATGGCCTGTCTGAAATCTTTAACACTAAGGTAATGACCAATACTAATTATTTTCATTTTCTACAACTTATATTACCTATATCTCCTAAAACATTTATGCAACTATCTTCAAAAGTAATTTCTCAAAATAGATTCACCATATATTACTGAACATTTTTAATTATTAAAAATATTTTACATAGTCAGAAGTATATGCATATTTCCTGTCTAAATGGTCCTAAGTCTGTGGTAGAATATTTTAGCATTTCTTAATCAGACCTTAAAGGGCTGCATGTAACCATACACCTAATACAAACATTTTTACTTTGATGTCTTCTCTATTTCATGAAACAAGGATAGCAGATATATAAACTAACAACTGTAATTTAGTAGGATTAGAAAGTTACTAGACAGCAGAGGACACAAGGGATTAGGAAAGGCTGCCCAACAGCGGCATTCGAGCTGGATCTTAAAAGGGTCTGCCACATTTAGGACGGTAGGGGTATGTGGTATGGGCATCAAGACGGCCCCCAATGATTCTCACCTCCTGATATCCTGATATCCACTATCCTTGGATAGTGCCCTCCCCACAAAAAAGATCTCACAGAACTGATATGCGATTTTTGAGGCTAAGTCTTAAAAGACCCCGAGGGTCTGTCTTGCTTTCTCTTGACCACTCACTCTGGGGGAAGCTAGCTGTCATGTAAAGATACCCGAGAAGCTCTACAGAGAGGTCCACACTAAAAAGAAGTTGCCTGCCAACAGTAACACTAACTTGCCAGGTATGTGGGTAAACTACTCTGAAAGTGAATCCTTCAGCCCCAGAAAAGCCTTCAGATGATGGCAGCCGAAGCCAACAACTTGACTGCAACCTCAGGAGACTCTGAGCCAGAGCAAATCAGCTAAGCCACTCCCAGATCCCTGACCCACAGAAAGCAAGTTAATCAACTATTACTGCTGTTTTAGCCTGCTAAGTTTTGACAGTAATTTGTTGCAGAACAACAGATAACTAATATAGAGTATAAGACACATCAGGCAGAGAACAGCATGTGCAAAAAAAGCACAGAGAGATGATACAACCGAGCAAGCTTGGGTAAGCAATTCCGGATGGTTAAAGCGTAAAGACATGAGGCTAGAGAAGTACGCAGGGACCAGGATCAGAGACTCCTTTCTGCCCAGCTAAGGAATTTGGACTTTATCGTATGGCCAAGCAATGAGAAGGGGAATCAGTGCAATTCTTCACCAGAGAAATAACATAACTAGATTCAAATTTTAAAAGAAATAGTGAGTAGTAGTAGAGATTATATGGTGGAAAGGAGGCCACTATGACTGGAAGCTCTCCCAACAGGGAGACCAGTTAGAATATTCTTCTAACAGTACAAGACGACAAATGAAAAACAGTTTTGAGGTAAAACTTCTCTGAGGCCCATTAGTGTTCACAGCCATCTGGGTTCCAACCAGCTGACTCCATTAAAGGTGTATGCGCAGACCCAATCCCCTCCTACAACCACTGGATAGAGACCTTTCAGGATCATCCTCACCATTAAGTCACTTCCCATTCTACTCAAAGACAGAGGCTTTAATGCCAATGCAGGGTGCTACAAATGCATATCCTCATAACTAGTTAATACTATTCCCTAACCACCAGCTGTTAGGCCTCAACATTAGTTCTACCATGAAGAGAATAAAGTAAATCTATCAAGAGGACAAAAGCAGTTGCTGAAACCAAAATTGAGTCCAAATAACTAGCTAAATGCCTCTGCTCCCAACCCCACTCCATCATTCCATCCAGGATAGATGTCTCTTCAGAGCCCTGATTACCCTCACTCCTGCAGACCACCTTCCACTAAGCCATAGGAACATGAGACACCCCACTCCGCCAAGTTGCCAGGGGTCACTACTGACTCTCAAGGATGCTGCCCCAAAGGCAGCAAAAATTCTCATTCTTAAGACCCTAGATTTTCCTCTCTTATCACAATGTATTTATTCACACACACAAATTAAGATTCTGATTTAATTATTTCATTTATATAATTTCAAAGAGAAGTAATACCAAACTACAGAACTAAATTGTTTAGGGATGTATTTATCACTTTCGAAGAGCAAAAAAATAATCCTTAAAAAGCAAGATAGTGGTTATCTCTAGGAGAAGGAGAGGAAAAGTTTTTGACTTAGACAAAATGCATGGGGTAGGAAGGTTTCTGCAGGTGCCGTAATGTTTTAGTTCTCAATCTGGGTGGTTACTCAGGTGCTGGCTTTAATGTTATTCACTAGACCGTATGCATACTTGTTTTATGTACTTTTCTGTATATTACGTTTCTCAATAAAAATGTTTATAAAAAGGCAAGACCCCTTCACCCACAAAAAAAATGCTTAAAACCACAACAAATACACAAATAATATATAGAAAATCCACCCAAGAGGATAATTTAACTAGTAAATATGTATGGTTAAAAAATGTTTCTGTCCCACCAGCAGCATTTTTCTCCTAAACAAAACAAATATTATTTGTCTCCGAAATCAGCAAAAAGTTTATTAAACTATCACATCCATTGCTCATGAGCATGATAAAATGGTTCTCATACCTTGATGTGATCACTGTAATGCAATTTGGTCTTTTGATCCACAAATTCTTTAAATCTCTTAAACTGAAATATGAGATGAGTTATAAGCATAAAGCTTTTACCTTTGATGTTTTTTTTTAACAGCCAGAAGAAAATTGGAACCACCATAAATAATAAATAACAGAACACTGTTAAAGAAAATTATGTAGATCTATTTGAGGAACTATAAATTATCCTTTAAACTGATCATTACGGTTATTGTAGTCATATTTTTAAAAAATCTTTGTTGCAAACATATACTGAAATATTTACATATAAAAAGATTATATAAGATTTCCTTCAAAATAATAGGTGAGGGTATGAATGAAAAGTAGGTGAGGGTATGAATGAAAAAGGATTGGCCATTAGTTGATAAGAGCTGAAACTAAGGGATGATTACAATGGGGGGATTTCCTATACTATTCTGGTGTTGGTGTATGTTTGAAACTCTTCATAATAAAACATTTTTTTTAATTAGGAGAAAAAATTAAGGTGATGAGTTGAAATTGCATACTTGCATCTTTTTAAGCTAAGAAAAACAGATATGAAGGGTTGGAGGGGAGGAAAAATCAAAATCCTATGTTTATGTTAAAAAGCCTCTGATATTTTCTTTTATTTCCAAAGTTTCCGTTTCATTGCTTCTATAGTTTAAAAACTTATATTCAAACTCTGAATTGAGGGAAATCTACTTAGCTATTTACTCATTTGAACATAACTGAATCAAGCTGTTTCCAAATTCTGGTAAACCAGATTCCTGAATCTACCTTATCTTCTAAGACAGATACAGTGAACTATTTTTCTTTTCAGCATCTACTTCAGATTCCTCCCTAGCTTTTTAAGCTACAGTTTTACAGCTGTTCTATTTTGAAACCTCATTTTCTTCTGCTGCGTATTTATGTATTCAATGCTAAAACCAGTATTTTGGTACTTTATATTTTAGCTAAAAACATAGTTCTTGTCTTTTCTTCCAGAGATAGTTAAAAAGAATCAAATATAGACAGTTTATGCATGACTCTATCAGCTACTTGTAAACTGTTAACTCATGCCATAATGAGTACTGTTGTTATGTGAAAAGTTATGTTACTCTATAAGTATATTAAAACCTCTGTGTGTGCATATATTTCAATTACCATAAGGAAAATCTAAATACAGGGAATCAATTTTAAATACACTTACCAGGATGATTGGAAATGGGAGGCTGGAATGCAAGCTCATTGTGAACTGGCCCTAAAGACAAGACAATAAAAATCCCATTTTCATTTATTAAGTTTTCCAATGCTAAAACTTTTAATCAACTTTACTTAAATATAACTATCATACCTTAGGAGTTGTTTAGATCAAGCTTATGCAATGTCTAAGAACTTAAAAGCTTAGCTTAGATTACTTTATAATAAGAAAATATTCTTGAATTACTTTTGTGAGTATTTAATAGCTAACATTTTAGTGCTATGTGCCAACTGCTGTTAAGCAATTTATAATAAGTGTACGTGCAAAATATAATGTAAATTATAAATGCATTATTCATGTATTACAGTATAATCTATAATGCAATATATAATAATAATTCAAATAGTTAGGTCCATTCTATAAACAAGTGTTTATCGTTTATTAAATTAAGGTTATTTACATAATGGAACAGTAGCTAACATAACTGAGAGATTACCACGTGTTAAGACATTGTGCTACATATCTCACGTGAATTATTACATTTACTTCTGACAACATCCCTTGAGGGAGATACTACTATTACCCTTAAGGCTTAGGGAGGTTAAATAACTTGCTAATGGTCACAGAGCCAGTGAAGGGTCCAAACTCAGCAGCCCTAACCACTATGCAGGCCCAGGCAGCCATTAAAAATTATATTCTCTTAAGACATGGAAAAATAGTAACATAACTGAAAAAAGGCAGGATACAACAATATATACACAGTATGATCCGCTCCCTCCCCGCCAAATTTATATATACCCATTTACATGACTGGAAGGAAAAATATGACAAAATATTAAAAGTGGATATCTCTGGATAGTAGGATTCTGGGTAATTTTTATTTTCGTATTTACATTTTTCTGTATTTTCCAAGTTTTCTTTGGTACTATTTATATTATAATGGAGGAAAAGGGATTTAACACATACAAACGGTTTATTTATAATGGAGGAAAAAGGATTTAACATATACAAGAGATTTATATTCTTGATTTTACTAAGCCAAATGAACAATGCTCCTATTCTGCCTGAAACTACAAGCTATAGTTATCAGTAGGGTATTCTTCCCAATCAAGCCTGCACAGAGTAATGATAAGATTCAACATCTGAGTGTCTACAGTATGCTAAATACTATTGTGAGGGAACCCTTGAGATCTTGACACTCAAGGGGTTTCAATCCACTTAGGGTGGACACGTACAGCTACACATGAGATCTAAGAACATATACAAAGCAAACAAATGAATGGAAATCAATGTGATGTTAATGAAACACAAGCAACAAAGAAATAAATGTATTTAGTAAACATCACTCCTTTAAAACAAAGGTATGATAACCTACAAAAATAAATAACAGTTTACAAAAGATACTAATCATTTAATCAAACTAAATTGCAAGATGAATAAAAGATGTAAAAACATTTTTTAAAAAATAGAAATAAAACAAAGTCCTCAAAAAGAAAAGGCTCTTACGACAAAAACAAGAGCTTACAGTAATGTCCGGGATGGGGCGGCATAGGCGGGTGGTGCTGAAGATGGCCGTTTTGGTGGTGAGGCAAATTAGGTGTGTATGGTGCGGTTCTACTTCCAGTCCAGGTGGTAGTGCTGTCTAAAAATTAAGGCCCACATGGATTAATTTGCTTTTATGAAGTCTGCCTATTTTTTCTCAACTACTTAAAAGATTTTTAAAAGCATGTACATACTATGATGGTAAGTAGCTGGCTGACCAGTAAATCCATTCTGCTGCTGTCCTGGCTGAGGCCCTGAAGCTATCTGCAACAATCCTTCACTATGGCTGCCTGCCAGTATACTGGCTGGCTGACCTAGAGGAACAAGAAGACATTAATATGGTACATTTATAGATGCAATCCTATGGTTTTATACAGTAAATGAAGGACTAATTATATCTGATAGTCACAACTATAAAGATGGACAAAAAGTGGAACTCATCCATGGCTTATCAAATAAAAAGCCCTAAAGTCATCTATAAAGGCAAATCTTAATTTGAAGAAGTTCAAAATTATTCTAGCTTATGTAATTTCTAGCTAGTTTTAGTAATATTTCTTCACAAATATTCTTCAAACACCAGCAAAATCCCACTGTACGTCTAGCCTATCATAATAACTTCTTCAGAAGCACATCAGCTCACTCCTGGCCACTAAACTCCATTCAGTTCTGGACCTCTCTGATTAGGACCCCAAAAGTCCAGGCTCAAGAAAATGTTGAAAACCGCAAACTTCATTATCAGCACCAGTACTGGTAATGGCAGAATGCTAGGGTTTGATAAAAGAAAAGCAGAGCAGGCAAATATTTTAAATGAAATGTGATGGGTTAGGTGAAGAAGTTAAAAAAAGGTCCAACTCCACTGTCCAATCAATATAGCATTTGCTAGTTAAAAAAAAAAAAAGAAAGAAACCATCAGTCTACTTTGAAATTCTTTCATGTACTTTTAAAAACCAAGAATCACTTCTTTCCAAGAACACTAACATATTCCTGAATTTACAGGAAATTAGTTGCCTTCTCTATACGCAATATACCAGAAGGACTAAGCTTCCTCTGGCTTCTATTCTATTCAAAACATTCTACGATATTGCTACCTGACCTACATTTTTAAGGCTTTTTTTAGTGGAAAAAGCTTGATTTCTTTAAGCAAGCATTAATTAAGTCAATTGTTTACCTCATTTGGAAAGCACTGAAATTTCATAATTGTTATTTGTCACTGAATTCACCTCAATCTTTTGTCATCTAAATAGGAGTATAATCAGATAGAAGAGTAAATGACACCATTGCTCAAAGTATCAAGGAAAAGGAACATTTTTCTCCTCTCTACAAATCACATTTTCTTAAGGCTAAGATTGTAAACTTAAAAGCTAAAGAGATTATTTCAATATTCCCCAAATTATTTATTTTTAAAGATGTTTTCAGAAACCTCCCTTCCTACTCATCCAAAAAAAATTTTTGCAAGTTATCTTTAAAGGTTAATTATATTTTTACTCTTGCTTTTAACAAGTGTACATGCTATATACTCTTAGCTAACTTACAGAAACTGTCACTATACAGGAGGAATTAAACTATTGTAGTTTATAGAGATTTAGAAAGAGACCCTGAAGATATTCAGGTGCCAAATGAACATAAACTGTAAAGTAGCCCACTGCAGTTATCTGGACTGAGTGTTTCCATTACACAATTCCAAGTACATAAGATAAAATTAAACAATACAACTAAATCAGTTCTTGGAAAATAGTCTTCTAATTCCCCTATTTTAGTTCAATTTCTTTTCTTTCTTTTGATTCTATCAACAGACTTTTTGAGATCTAAGGGAACATTTTGCCACAAATTCTAAAATCTACAGATTACTACTCAACAGTAAAAACAGATTCAAAAATACCAAGACAAAATTATCTGCATTTCATTTATATCACTTTTTCCAGTCTTCAATAGGACTTGGCCCCAGGGAAGAGAACAGTTAAAATGACTGAAGTCACTTTAGCAATCACCAACAAAGGCATGCAAATTCAATCTCCAGATAAAATCAACAGAGGTAAGTGGCTGTGCTCTAGCACTAATCTATGCTCAAAAGGCTGTAATGTACCTTCTTTTACTCTCCGTCACTACCCACTCTGTCAACTATATTCCCAAATTGGTAAATAAAGAGTAGACAGATAACAGAAGCACCAAGTGGTTATAGGTCAGGTTCTAAAGTACGTGCTTAACCTATATGACCCACTTAGAATATGCTGTCTATGGTGAGACTGTGATCTCATGTAGCAAATCCAAAAGATACTGCTTTGAAGAGGTAAAATGAATTAAAGAAGGGGAAATTTGGTATACTTTACTTGAAAACTCAATTATAGAAATCAGTCCTCCATTTATTCCAAAGATCAAATTTCTATGTTGAATGTGACCTGATATTAAAGTAAGCAGAATAACGCTCCCTTTGGTAGCAGCTAACAAAGTATCAGTCCCGATCTATCAACAATCTACTGCTGATGTGGACTTAGACACAATGTCCTTAGCAACCAGATGCAAATAACACCATACACATGCCAAGATTCTGCTCTGTGATTAATTAAAAAAAAAGCTACTCCACTTGCCAAGCAGCAAACTGTCCAACCTTTGGTGACTGTGAAAATAAACAGCAGTATTAACAGAACTAGGTCATTATTGCCTTGATCAGGCCCCAAGAGAAGGTGAACCAAACAGACTTCTGCCTCCATGACGTGCCAGAGAAGGTGGCACCTCTATCATGGGAAGAACCTTTCTGAAATAGACTTCTTGTTTAAAAAATCGAGTTAAATATGTAGAATTTAGTTTTATTTAGAAATTGACTAAAATATTTAACACCTATCTTGAGGGATATATGTTATAAACAAGTTTGTCAAGATCCCTTTTTCTAAGTTTGCCCAATGGGAGACTGAGATGACTATTATAAACTAATATTCTGCCAGATAAAGCAAAATAAAAATACTGATTAAAGAAAAGTGTGCAATTCCATTAACACAGATTTTTATAAACATCTTGGTTCAAAACTACTTGCTAACTACTTAAATATTTTTCTAAAATGTATCTGAAAGCTCAAGAGGCTTCTTACTTCTGCATGTAATAGCAGATAAAGTACAAATTAGACTATTAATTTAAATCAGCATTATAACCAAAGTCATTACTTAAATTCCAAGTGACTCTACATCAACATAAAAACGTTTAAATAAACTACAGACACCATTTTTTCTAGGACCAACCCAAAAACCTATTTAATATTTGTTTACTTATGAAGATACCATAGTACTTTTAATTTTTACTTACTTGGAGTTTTCCTCCAAGTGACTACATATAAATATTCAATGGTCAAGGAAATTCAACTTGCTGACTACATCTGATTCTACAACTCACTTGTGGAAGCCACAGGAATGTTGGGAAAGTTGGTGGTGCTGGTAGCATTAGACTCAGATGGAGCTAACAGAGCTGGTGTGCTGTATGTCTCCGTTGATGCACGATTACTTGGTGGATGCTGGATGGTTTGAATTGAATGCCCTTCAGTAGACAACGATGGCTGTCCCTCAAAGTCATGAACATATTCATCCTTCACCAACATACTTGGTGGAGCTATATAGAAAATTAAACATATTTTAAAATCTTATAAGCTTCTATTTCCAGGAAAAAATCTTTTAAGTAACATAACAACACCTAAAATCAACTATAGTGTAAGTATCTCTAACTTAGAATTTTTTCATAATATTTTAAAAGCTTACTAATTTATCAGCAAAAGCTATTTATTTAGAGGAGTGGCATCAGATATATTTTATCAATCAATCTGACTGACTCCTTATCCGAAGCTAGACCATATTCCAAAAACCTCCAGCAATGGCCCTAAAGAAGTATTCCTTAGTTTCTTGATTAACCTAGAAGCAATAATCACCTTAAATGATTATTATCCTTCCTTATAACATGAGGCAGATGAAAACCAAATGGCTGGAGAAAATGTTTATCCAGCTGAGAAGACCAAATTGAGATCAAGTACTTAACTGTATCTTTTTGCTAATTTCACACTGTAGGACTATGAGTAGGATGTGACAGCTATCCAATTCCAGGATCTAGAATTATTAAGTAACATATTCTTTGAAAGTGAAGTGTATTGAATGTCCCTAAAGGGTTAGAACCAGACAGCAAAATCCTAAATGGTACAAACTGAAATTTCCTTCTAGAATCCCAATCCAAATAATGATGTTTGATAAATATGTGGCATGAGAAAACTCAATAATCAACATCTTTCACCTATGCGGTTACACCTCAATAAGCAAAAGCAAGACTCTAGCTGATACAACACAACACTTTTCCTTGAATAAACCAGGGAACAGTTGGCTTTGTTGTGAGGAAAAAAAGAAAACTAAAACTGCACTTACAATGTCAATTGTTCTCTGCCCAAAACCTCCCCATTTGTTTGTGGGCTCTTGTTTTGGGTTTGCTTTCTATCTTTAGCAACAACCTTTCAATGCTTCTGACCTAACACTACTCCAGAATTTTACAATCCACTGAACTCTAATACTAGGGTTCTCTTCTTAGAGCAGTCAACTAATAGTCAAGAAAAGACATTCTCTTTTCCATTAAGAATCAGCATACAGTGCTCCTTATCTTTCCTTATGTCAATCTTTGAAAAAATCTATTATACAAAAATACCAATTACATGGCTATTTTTAATTAAACTGAGAATATTTCAAAGTAGTAAGAATAAACCATTGTTCAAATTTCTATGTACAATCTCTTAAAGGGCTTTTCATGCATCAAAAGTCTTGAAGACATTGATACTTTTAAGATCCATAAATTCCACTCCAAAGAGTCTCTCTTTAGAAAATTCTATAGAAACAAGAAAATAACCAAAAGGATGCTTAACATATCATTATATATCAGTAAAAAAAACTGGACCCAACCACTCATCACTAATGTTGACCAAATTATAAAAATACAAAGAAAAAATCGTCTAGGACATAAAGTGGGTATGACTGTATTTAACCAATCTTTTTTTTTTTAAAAAAATTACATTCTTCAACAAAGTTCTATGATTTTCTTCATATAGATCCTGACATCTCTAATTCCTAGATATTTTAGGTTTTTTGTTGTTATAGAGACTAGGATCTTTTAACCAAGATATTAGTATTGCTAGTACATAAGGAGAAAGCTATTGATTTGAGAAAACAGCTGGTCAACTTGATACTCATTGCTTCTGCTTTTCAGTTGACTCTTCAGCTTAATGGTCAATCATAACAACTGAATTCTGCTTTTAAAGAGTTACGCCTCACAACATTTTCTTGTTTAATATGTTAGCTAACCCTTCCCAAATGTAAGTTTGGGACTTCTACCAGTCTACAGGTCTCTTTAATCAAATAACTTAAAAGACATGTTTCTTAAGTAAAACTGCAGGTATCAACAAGGATAGATATCTGCAATACATTTTTGCCAAGAGAAAAAAAAAGTAGGTTACAAAGCATTATTGTCCACTATGATCATATGCATGTTTAAAAAATCATATACTGTAAGTAAAAAAGCAAGGTCCAGAACAGTACACAATATGGTTTTTGTGTAAGAAACAAGGGAAATAATACATGTGTTTTTGCACAAAGAAACCCTAGAAGGAAACACCAGAAACTAATAAAAGTGATTACCTGAGGTAGGGGGGAATGGGGGCAGGGGTGGGAGCACTTCTTTTCACTGTATACCTTTTTATAGTATTTTGATTTATGGATCATGTATTGCCTATTCAAAAAAATAAAATTAAAAAAAAACATATAGTATATATTTGTAAAGTCCAGAAAAACAGACACCAAACTATTAAGTATTTCTCTTTATGGACTAGCATTCAACAAATTCATTCACTGAAAAAATATTTATTGAGCACCTATGTTCCAGGTACTGTTCTAGCACTTGGGATACATCAACAAACAAAAAAAAGATCCCTGCCCTCATGGAGCTTACCGTCCTTTATAATATTTTTCTATTGTTTAAATATCTAATAATGAGCACACATCACTCCAGTTCCTCCAGGCTGTCTAATCTTAGCCAAGTTCCTTGACCTCTCCAGGCACTAGTCTCTTCATCTGATAAAGTGTGGATAATGCCACCTACCATGTAGGGGTATGAGAATGATGATACAATACTTGTAAATCATTTAGCTCAGTACCTGACACAAAATGAGTACTTAGTAAGTGTTAGCTATTATGATTTAACCATATTTTTAGAGTGGTCATACACGTATATAGTTATTACAAAATGTTCTATGAGGGGTAAGGAATGTACAGGGGACAAAAAAGTGGAAGCCACTGGGCTCATCCTAGACCTGTGCTCTTTATCACCACCAGCAGGCAGGCCACAGCACTTGCCTAATGGTACTGTCACTGTCTTATTTACCTTTTCTCTTCTCCACTAGACTATGAGCTCCCTGGAGTAGAGAAAACATACTTTATTTATCCTATCATCCCTGGAACCCAACACAGTACCAGGCAATACATGCTCATTAAATATTTGTTAAAATGAATATATAGGTAGATGTGGTCATGGAAAGTTTGATGAAAGAGATGAGACAGGCTAGAAATGATTACTACCAAGATCCCAACTCAAAAGTGAAGAAATTATCCCATTTTCTTAGCGTTCAGTTACCTGGCCTTGTATTCTTTCTTTGTCCAAATCTAGAAGGAGCTGTGAGAAACACCTGTTGTTTTCGGAGGGAGCAAGCCATTGAAGCCAGCCTTTACATAACCACCACTAGGGGGATCCACAAGGCTGAATACAGCCCTAGAGCCACTAAAAGGAGGCTATCAACCCACACAATCCCATCAATAACAGGTACTCATAACAGGAGCATTTTTAGGATATGAGAGGAGTGGGATGAGTCTTCTGAACTGGACCCCTCACAAACACCTCTCTAGGGAGATTCTGATATAGTTATCACTACAGTCTCCCAACCCCTAACACCCACTGTTTTAATTCTCCAAAACCATGGATGAAGAATGGTGAAGATCTGAAGGGTGCTTACTTTCAAAGAAAAGAAGTGCCATGATATCAATGTCTGTGGTGAAGAGGCAGGGCTTTACACAATCTTAAAGCTACCCTTCCTAGATCACCAAGACAGCTCCCATTACCAACCCACTGTTCTCAGAAACCTACTAACCATTAACAAATACCAAAAGGCACTAGAATCTTTCTCTATTATTAGTGACGTGGAAGAAAAGTGGAGAACGAAGACAAGTAGACTTTCATGTTCTTCTTAAATTTTGTTTAAGGTCAGATGATATCTCTGACCCACTCCTAAGATTCTGCAACAAAAGAGGTGCTAAGCCACTAATTTCCCTCCAGAACAATGACACACCTTTCTAAGATGATGGTGGCTCTTCATCAAAGTTTCTCTGCAAATTAATTAGTTTTTACAGAAATTTTAGTTCATTTACATGTTCTAAGTAACAGAGAAAGTTTTAACAGATCTCTGTTCTCAAATATTGCACTAAAAAACAAAACAAAAAACACACACCCCCATTTGTGTTTCATTTTCCCACCTCAAAACACTTTCTCCTTAAAAAACCAAAAAAACAAAAAACTCACTTTCGCCTTGTTAAAATAGGATTAGATCATCTCAGCATATACTTTAAAGTAGCCTTGTTTTATTTACTCAATATGTAACAAGACTGAAAAAAATATTAATATATATACAATTTTAAATCATCCTTAAAATTATCTATCATATATAAAAATAAGTTAGGCTGAAATGAAGAAAAATTAGAATATTGGTATTCTTAAAGGATATGTAATACATGATTCCAAATTACCAACCACTACAGGTATTTATACCCATATAAACTCTGGGCTCTGTGAGATTTTCTTCCAAAATAGCCAGTTTTTACCAATTCAAAAAATATTCTTTCATTATATATTTTATGTTCCCCTATCATATTTTTTAGACTACTTTAGTTCACAAATAGTAGTTCAAGTCCAAAGAGCTAACAGCCTCTTTAAACCCAGTTTTAAATGCTGATGCAGGCAAAAAAAAAAATCTACATTTCCAAAGCAGTTAAGTTTTTTTCTTGTAAATGTTACTAGCACCCACACAAACTAATTCTAGGGCAATAAAAAATAGAGGGGACAGGATAAAAGAAAACAGAGAAAGTTACAAGAAGCAGATTACATACCATTACTCTGCAGTGTTAATCCTGAGAGATCTTAATTTTTTAAAAAAGAAGAGAAAAGAAAACATTAATAATTACCATGAAAATACTTTCTATTATATTTAAAATTATAAAATGTAAATTTAAGCCAGAGATTCAAAACTTCATGAACCATTTCAATTCAAGAATAGTAGTATAAATGCTATCTGACAACACATAAACTAAGTATTCAATTATATAATGCTTTCCATCTTTTTTTCAAAAACAATGTTCTAAATGGGCAAAATACCAACTGTATATACTTAGTTTTAGCAGTCAAAATACAAGTTTGTTCCCAAGTTCAAATTTAAATATTTATATTTCATTAAAAATGTCTGATTCTTTAACCTTAGTTGAAATTCTAGGCTATCCCTAAATTTATAATTTAACTTAGAAAAATTAAAATGCTATTAACATCTTTCTAAAGATAAAAGCAAAGTCTGCTTACCAATTCCAGGTGATACAACTCGTTCATAGTGATATGGATTCACACAGACACTATCACATTTTAAGTCAAATGCATACTGACAATATTTAACATGTTTTAGTTCATTTTTGTGAAGATCGGGCCACCTCCAGAGACGGGCATAGATCACATGAGGAAATCCTTTCCGACCAGCCACCTAGGAAAAATAAACAACCATTTTATTGAGCATCAGTTATGTGTCACACATTACACAGGCACTTTATATATGTTCTCATTTAATCCTTACAATCCTGCAAAGCCAGTATTATAATCCCCATTTCATAAATGAGAAAACTAAAGCTCAAAATAACTTACTTGGCCATAGTCACAACACAATGAATTAAAGTATGATTTCAAGGCCTGTGCTCAGGTTTTAAAAAATGCAAAAAAAAAAAGTATGAGTTTGTTGTAGAAACCACGCCTAAAATCTAGAAATCAAGTTTTTAAATCTAACAACGTAAGATTTCTATACGTTTCTCTAAAAATATTAAGCACAGGAGATGTATTAAGCAGTTTTACATGAAAAATGCAATCAGTGAAAATGAAAGGTAAAGAAAATTTGTGAAATATAAGCTTTTAACTCCTTAACTTTTAAAGACATGCTTGAATTCTTCCAGATTTTTTTTCATATAAAAGTACCAAACATACAATATTAGATTTCTAACTATAAAAGGACAAAGTATAGCTCAATTTTTTAAATGAGCATATAATACCAAAAAAGAAAAAAAAGGCTACAAGGATGAATACCAAAGTGCTAAAGGTGTGGGTTTTCTTCTGCTTTTTATTTTTATTTTCCAAATTTTCCACATTGAACTTTTTTATTAAAAAACTTTTAAGATATATCTTTATCACGTGGAAAACATATTCTCCCATATATTCCCATAATACATGCTGGCACAGGATAAACAGTATCTGAAGAGATGAAGCAAGCATTAAATTATCCCACAGTAACTTAAGAGGAAATATGAATTTTTTTTTAATCTGCTACTACCAAAGATAGAGAAAAACCCTAGTACAAGACTAACCTGAAGCCTTCCATCCAATGTTCTCTGTATGGTAACACATTTGCTAGGATGAGCTCCATTTGTAGTTATAGCTGTTATTAAAGAATCCAATTCATCTTTTTTCTCCTTCAGCTTCTTTACCAAACTTTCAATTGCTCTTTTTGCAAATGTTTCACTCTCTCCACCTTGTCTATGGCACATCAAACTATGTACAATGCTCAGACAGGCATCATTACTTGTTGGTGTATTCGTAATAGACATATTGTCCATCTGTTAAAGTTATTTCTTTTAAATCAAATATGTCTCCAATTTCCGGAGCAACTTTGATCTTTTGGAGGCAGTGAAAAACAACAGCTAATGTTGCAAGGAAAATTGTTAGTCATGTAGTATTCAGGATAACCTAAAAAAAAATGAGACACAGACATTAGAATACATTTCACAAAGTAGATTCAATTACTTGGGAAAAGATGAAATTGCTCCAGTTAAGTCAAAGACTCAATGCACATAATTAAAATTTGGTGTTTAGAGTTTTAAATGACTTTCAAATAATGTTGTTTTTGACATTTCAAAAATATTAAAGTTAGGCCTTCTCATTATTATAGAGGCATGCTCAATCAAGTCGTGTTCACTGGGCCGGCCCCGTGGCTTAGCGGTTAAGTGCGCGCGCTCCGCTGCTGGCGGCCCAGGTTCGGATCCCGGGCGAGCACCGACACACCGCTTCTCCGGCCATGCTGAGGCCGCGTCCCACATACAGCAACTAGAATGGATGTGCAACTACGACATACAACTATCTACCGGGGCTTTGGGGGAAAAATAAATAAATAAAATCTTTAAAAAAAAAAAAAAATAAGTCGTGTTCACTGTACTAGTCAAGTAAAAGCTTAACAGGACTGTTTTTTTTTTTTTTTGGTGACGAAGATCAGCCCTGAGCTAAAATCCAATGCCAATCCTTCCCTTTTTTTCTTTCTTTTTTTTTTTCTGTGTGCTGAGGAAGATTGGCCCTGGGCTAACATCTATGCCCATCTTCCTCTACTTTATATGGGACGCAGCCACAGCATGGCTTGACAAGCGGTGCATCAATGCGCACCCGGGATCCAAACCTGCAAACCCTGGGCCGCCGAGGCGGAACACGCGCACTTAACCGCTGCGCCACCGCACTGGCCCCTAACAGGACTTCCTAAAAGGATTACTTACGAAGACCAGCACTGTAAAATATTCTTGATTAACGACTAGTAAAACCCAAAAGTCTATCACTAATACACATGAAAAATTCACCATCACCTGGTACCAAACGCTGTTTATCAGTTAACAACACCCATCTTTGTTAAAAGAGACCACTGACAACAATAAAAAGATGAGGGGCCAGGCCGGTGGCGCAAGCGGTTGGGTGCGCGCGCTCCGCTGCGGCGGCCCGGGGTTCGCTGGTTCGGATCCCGGGCG